TTTTTTTAATCAATATATTATATTTTTTAAATTTTTTTACCATTGTGTTTATATTAGTTAATGTATTATATTATTAGAGATTTATTTCACTTACATTTTAAAATATTATAATTAATTAGTTTTTCAATATGCATTTTTTAGTCATTTTACATTCTGATCAATTATTTTTCGTCAAACATGATTTGTTAATCAGCTAACTTATCAGCTAGTTTGCCAAACATAGCCTTACTGAAAAATCTGAAAGTAAGATTTGAGCTGTGACAAGTCTAAAAAGCATCCTTATGGCTTATATTTTACTCTGAAAGTGGTCCTTGATCACTAACTCTGTTAATAATATCAAATTTTGTCTTTCTACCGATTTTCATAGTAAGTTAATTCCTCTTCATGCCCATTTTTAAGGCTTCTTTCTTCAGTCAACCTAAGACTTTTCTTTATCTGAACATTGATTTTAGCTGATCGAAAGCTTTGTTCAATTGCCAACTAAACTTAACGAAGCTCAAATTGGCAATACAATAGGTAGAGCGATGAAAAAGACTGAGTTGGCAAGACGAAGAGGGACAAGAGGCTCTTATTTTCTTTTCTTTTAGACCATACATCACTTTTTTGGTTAATCATTTAAATCCCGTATGTCGATGGCTCTCCTTCCCCTCAACCGTTCCCTCTCTGGTAAACACCAGCAGACTATTGGTCAGTTGCCTCACAACGAACCTTCACTCCCTGTCCCTCCTCCTCTACAACTAGAAAACAGAAACCCTCATGTAGGGCTTGGGTGGGATCGGTTGGGGGAAGGAGTTTGTAAGGGATTTTATTTTAAATATCAGTAAAATACATTAAATATAATATAGAGTAAAGTTTATTATTAATAAAATAATAACATACTATATGTTCTCTTATTAATATTTAAGAAAATAGTAAAAGATTAGACTGTTTCTCATTTAATGGATATTTTTTAACAAAGTTAGTGACTACGGATCATTTTCAAAGTAAATACAAACAATAAAGATGAAATCTAAACTTATCAAAGTACAGGTCCTACTTTCAGAGTTTGCATTAAACCTAAAGGACCAAAATCGGAGTTTACTTCCTTATTTTTTATAAAACATAATTTTAAAATATAAAATTGAAGAATTTATAAAATAAAAATGTCAATTTTTAGGGGGTGTTTGAGATTGCTTATTTAAAACAACTTATGCTTTTTTGTAAAAGTGCTTATTAACTTATGTGGTATCAAACTGGAGTTTTGTAAAAAGTGTTTGGATTAGCTTACAGTGGTACCAAACTGATAAGTTGTTTTTTAGTGTTTGGCAAATTTTGCTTATATCTGTAAAATGACCAAAAAGGACAGAGAGAAGATTGATGTTGTTATATGGAGAAGGGAGAAGATTGAGATCGATGTTATCGGGAGGAAAAAAGATAGGTATAAAGGGTAATAGGGTTAAAATGGTAAACTGGTAATAAACAGTTTTTCATAAGTCAGGACGGATTAACTTATCAAAAACTGCTTATTACCGGTTTGGCACCGGTATAAGCAGTTTTCTTTTTTCTTATCCAAACACTAGGTATTAGCTTATCACCGGTGYCAGACTGAAATAAGTCAATAAGCAGATAAAATAAGCAATCCCAAACACCCCCTTAATACTTAAACTTTCTTTTTCATCATGTCCGGGTAGGGGTATGCATCAGATGGGTAAAGCAAAAATCGATTGGATTTCGGATACGGAAATCAAACTCCGTATTTTGGGTTTCGGATTTCAAATGAGATCGGTGTTCAGGTTGAAGTCGATTGGGTTTGGGTATAGTTATAATACGATATATATATATATATATATATATTCAATCGATTTTGATGATGAATTCAAAAGATTGATGAAATTATCCCTAAATATATCTATATAATACTAGAAAAGTACTCGCGCAATGCAGCGAAACACATCTCGATTTTAATGTTCTATTTTATTATTTGTCTTTGTCGATGTTATAATACGATTTTATGTGTTTTTTTTTAAAATATCATAAAAATTTGAAAAAAAAATTATCAATGTTAATATCAAATCAATTATTTAAAAGTTCTCATTTGTTATGTAATTTTTTTAATTTATTTTTTTATTATAATTTTTTTTAAGTTTAATAATAAAATAGTTTATTTTTGGTTTAATATTATAAATTTTATAAAGATAATAATTAAATATTATATTAGAATTCAATGATTATCCTAATTATATTTTAGATTTTTTATATTTAAAATGAGATTTGATTATGTTTATTTGCAGTTAGTTACACGAATTCAAATATATAGCTTTAATAAGTTGTACTTACGTACTATATATTTGCAATCTTGAGTTTTAAGTAATAAGTATTAATAAACAGTACTTTACGCATACAAAATGGTTTTTAAGAGTTTTTGTCAAATGATTTATAATATAGTATAGATATATGACGGGTTTTCGGATGGGTTGGGTGGCCAAAAATCAAACCCAACCCGAATCAAATTATCCCCCCAAAAATTCGGTTTCGGATTTCAAGAAATCCAGGTTTTACACAAATACTTTATTTTCGATTCGAGTTTGGTTGCAAATTTCGGAATATTCAGATTTTATAATACCCTCCTTTTAAAATGGTTTTAATAATAAATCAAAATTAAAAACATGTCTTTGTCCAATTGAACTTCAAAACGTGTCCTGTTCTTAGTAGGCGAAGTTCCTCAAATTTGTAACCGTGTTGTTGACGTAAACTTGGGCAAATACACATGAAAAAATAAGCCAAAGATTCGTTAACCAATTTAATTATTTCATAATATTGATTTTTTTAATTAAAAACATATAATAAATCTAAAAAGTTACTTAGTATTCATAATTTCAATCGATGTCATTATTCTTGATTAATTATAATCACTTCGAAAGTATACATATGGATACACTCCGTATAGGGCGTTTTCGAGGGCCTAGTTTTTATCGTCAATCATGACATCGTCATTTTCAGATGATAAAATTATACAAATTTATATTAACGCCCGTTTGGGTTACATGATTTCATAGAATCTAGAATTAGATCCCATTTTAATCTCGGGTTTATTTAAAGTAAAATCCAAAATTAAAATCGTCTCACAAACATAGGATTTGGATATCTCATAAAGATAGTTGGTATTTTGTAAGATTTCATAAGATTTATTTATAATAAATATTTTAAAATATATTAAAAATATTTTGTTTTTTAGTAATCAATTAATAAAAAGATTAAGAAAGAACTTGAAACAATAACAGACTTGCAACATTTATTAACAAACTACATTTCTACATGACAAACCGTTTGATCGAGCACTCGAGCAAAACCACGACTGGACATTTATGCTTCAATTGCCTGCGATTTTGATGTTCAACTTCGGCTGCAAAATAAACCGGTTCCATGAACTTAGAAAAAGACTCGAGAGTGGTTCACAAGCTTGGATCAAATGCTATATCATGGCTCGTGTTCATTTGCAGCCTTAACAGGTCGAAATCATCCAATTTAAACCCGTTTTACGCTATTCCCTGATTGGGCCTTTCCTTGGACAGGAAAGGTTTCCGAGTTTAGAGTAAGGCGTCTCTGTAACTACTTGTACCTTGTACAATGACCGCTGCACAAACGCAACAAACGCACAATTTTACGTTGAAGGGAAAGCATACCAGCTGAAGGCCAAACTAAACGAACACGGTACGTTCCATCCAGCGGTGGGGTCTAAAATAAGGAAAAAAAAGAGAATATCAATGAGGTTGAATGTGTTTAGAATTTTTTATAAAATGTATTGGGATGATGAATTTATAGAATATTTTAATGATGTAATTAATACTGCAATTGCTAAAATAGAATTGCTATTGAAATTAGATATAATTGCCATTAGAGATTTTAATCTTAAATACTCTATTTTAGAAAAATTATAGCATAGCTGTTGGAGATGATCTAAGATGTACATATATCTGACCTCCACCCCCAAAGAGTAGATTGGTTGTTTTCATGAAGACTATCGGCTTGTCAGCATACTTCCATGAAACTAGGGAAAGTTGGTGCCGGATTTTTCTTCTTCAGGATTCTTTCTTCCTTCTTTATGGTTCTTCCTGGAAAGAGCAGAAAAGGCAAGCATGAAAGATGATGTGGTGCATATTGTCGGAAAATATACAAGTTTGGGAGATAAGGACTCGAACCTCTACGTTTTTCAGCACAAGATTTTGAGTCTCACGTGTCTACCATTTCACCACCCAAAGTCAAAAGAACGATCAAATGTGTGTAACAATTGTATATTCTACTGAAAAATAAAATGATCGGGACATTTTTCATCCTAAAATGTTTCAATAGATATGATCGTAACAAAGCATATTTTGTGTGCTTGATTTACATTTTCCAGTACTCCTGGTTTTAAGCTCTCTTTCCCTTATATCGTGCCCCGATTTGGGTGATGCTTGGAGACCTAGTGCGATAGTTCCCACATAGATGCCTGGTTGGAGCCTGCTAAAGTCCTCCAAGATATTCAAGATTTCCTACTCTTCTCGATAGAGGTCAGATATGCATACAGCCATACATTGCACCTTCCACATACACCCACCTTTAGATGAGATATACTAGGCTCGTTTGGTTTGGTTTGGTTTGGTTCGGATGTTATTGAATTTAGAGAGTTGTCGTATTAGGAATGCTACTGGAAGAGGTGTTTTTGGTCTTGTGATGCAAGTTTTTTTCTCCTTCAATGTCATGAATCACCTAGTTCGGGTAAGATTTGGGCACTTTTATCCCCCATAGATGCCAGGTTGGCTATCTCTAGAGTTCTAAGGATATTCTAGGATTCTCGAGTGTTTGTACCTTGATATTTAGATGGGAGTCATATTTTGTCCATGTTTGACAACCATAAGCTAGCTTATTTTTTGAGCTTATTGAAGAAGTCCCATTTAGGTGGCCATATGCTAGCTTTTTCTACCGCTACTTCAAGTGATAAGCTCCATGGTTTTTCCACTTTTTCCAATTATGCCCCTTGTATTTTTTTAATTAATTTTTCAACATGCCCTTTTACATTACCATCTAGCTTATCGGCTAATCCTTCGTTGTTTGGGATTTGCATGACTTACCTCCCCCATGATGATTGTAGGTGTGGTACGATGGGGCCAAGGGTGGTGTACACCCTTTTTCAGCTTATTTGGCTAGATTTTACTAGCTAACAACTAACTTATCAGCCAACAACTAGCTTTTCAGTTACTTTGATCCGGTTCCTATTTTGGGAACCATCTTTTTAGAAGCTCTATTTAAAGGACTATAGTTTAAAACTATCTATTCCGGTACCAATTGATGTGCCACTAACATGGCGCAAGTAAAATACAACGTTTTTCGGAGTACATTCCCAAAATAGCTTTTCTCAAAATTACAAACCCTTACATATTTCCAAAATTATAAACCCTTAAAACGTTCTTTCGAGCACATGTTCCTAAAAGTAAGAATTTAATCAAAGTATTTTTCTCATTTACATCCAAACCAAATGCGAAACTTTATATTCAAGCAAGATGCTAACCGCTAAGCCTACAAAATTCGTAAAGGCACAAACACCAACCCCACTGCATTTGCTCTCTAAACTTCGGATTCAAACCAAATGCTAAGGCCAACAGGGATGTTTGGTTGGTTTTCCATCAAGTCTTATATGGGTGAAGTTGTCTGTGTGAATTAATTTGTCTGTATAGATTGGGAGGATGATCTTTGTTTGGGAGGATTTTTTCATAGATGGAAGGAGCATCTTTTTAATTGAGGGGCAGGTTTGGAAAAACTCGGTTTTTCGCATAAAGCTCCCCCATAGAAGCTTATTGACTAAGCCACTTTCTATATCATTAAGCCCCTACCAAACAGTTACGTATAGCCGACCGAATAAGTTCCGAATCTCATTAAGCTGCTAACAAACAGGCCCATAGTTTGTTACAGCAAGAACACTAACTCCATCCATTGTAAGCTTTGGGCGTTTTAATAAACTGTTTGTTGTTTTAATAAAACTGTTTGTTGCCTTTCAAGGAAAAAGAACACCAACTCCATTAATTTTGCCCTCTAAACTTCATATCCAAGCCAGATGCTAAGCCTACAAAATTCGAAAAGGCAAGAACACCAAACCCATTGCATTTGGTCTCTAAACTTCATATTCAGGCCAAATGCTAAGGCCACATAGTTTGTCACTTCTATTGTGATCAACCAAGTTACCAACTATAGTCAGTCTTAAATCTCCCTCACTTCCCATCACCCTATTTGGTAGATATAAGGATATTACATGCGCAACATAACCAAATAAGTTTCCATAGTGGAACGACAACTCTGGCTAGAGATCAAGGGGCCTAAATGTCTTTCACCCCACATAATCAATCACGAACGTACTAAAACTTACAGAACTTGTAATAAACTATTTCAAACATAACTTAATGATTTCCTTCTTCATTCTACTTTTTTGCCCTACCTATATGGTTAAGGAGGATGGAGCTTCAACGGAGGAAACTACAAAGAAATATAAACTAGCCATCAATATATCGTCTATTCGAACTCTAGGAAATCTAGTACTACTGACACTACTAACATAGATTCTGTTTCAAACAGCTAACTACGCTAATCTTGGTTTCTTGTGAGCATGAATATCATCCAAACTTCTTTTTAGCAAGGATCTTGTGAAGGTTACGACCCAAACCAGCCGCCTCCATCTTCTACAAAACCCTTTATTTTTAGCAGTCTTAGTACCAACCAATTCAAGAACATGCTCTGGTTCATGTTCATTGGAAGTCCAAACATTCTCGAACCCACCATAAATCTCACTATACTGTTGCCTTAAAGATTCAGGTAGGAATTGTGGGTTTGGATGTTGCTCATCAGAAAGCATGTTACCAAATAAAAAACTTTCATTAATGACCAAGTCGGGGCCATCCATATATATGCTTTTGTTGTAGGTGGTTGCTAGCGTGTTAATGCAGGGAGTAACAATTTCAGTTTTTGCAAGTCCATGGACCGCAAGATTAGAACAATCTGCGACAAATTGGTCCTCATCAACAGATATTACATCCCCCCAGTTCTCAAATGCAGAAATTACCAACTTCTTGGCGTCTTCCTGCTACCATATATCAACTATAAGGATTATTAAAGGCAACAAAATATATAAGGAAATAGGATTCTAGTGTTTAGATGGTGAGCATACCTTTTGGGTGTCGGAGAGTATATTTCTAGAAAGAAATTGGCCGTGCAGGTACAATCCCAACACTTCACCCGAGACATTGAAAACAACCTCAGGTTCTTGCTCATAACTAGAGCAATACTTCAGTTTAGTAGGACATGTTAAAGCATGCTTCACTGCAATCTTCAAACTTTTTGCATGCTTTACGCCAAATATCTAATAAAATCCCAACATACAAATACTGTAATGTTATATTCTGCACAAAATGTATGTTACTTTACACACCAAGATATAGCAGAATGCATGGCTTATCTACTATAGAAAAAATAGAATTTCAGTTTAATGTCTACCAGTATTTGTAAGCAACACACCGCTGAATATGGCAATGTGGATAGCTAGGTGCCCTTTGGCTCTTTGTTTAAGTATGTAGTTCTCATAAATGGCCAAAGATTATATCACTTGTAATAAGATTTAATCACTAACATCCAAAATCAGAACAATGGAAATGGCCCTTAACTAAGGAAGTCCCTCCTGATGTTGATTTTAGCTTGGATGACTGGTGAGCTTTAAGATATTTAAGGAAATTGTGCAAATAATGCTTAATAATGTGAAAGAACACATTTAAAATTTGTTTGCAGCTATGACATAATACGGGCCAATTTGGAGCCATCTTAAAACTAAGGCAAGGCACACTAAACATTATAAATATAAACTTCTTCAAGTGTCTCATATACCAACCCTAGTTGGCTTTTAAAGTATCAACTAGGCTTTGTCAGCTAGATCCGCTCCGTTGTCTAAGGCAGTTTGAATAAAGTAAACGAAAACACACTCTTCAGGATGTCAGTTAACATCCATATTCCATGATGAGCTGGTTTAGTGGGTGCCTTTTATCAAGTTTAAAAGCCAAAAGCATTTGATAAGTTGAGAAGCAAAAAGATGAAGAAAATACCATGGGGCTGGGGTGGTATAAAGGTGGAACAGTAGATCATCCTATTAAAAGAAGTATACAATAATAAGACTAACAAGCAGCCAATACCTCCTCGAGACACTGACGGTTTAGAAATAGACGAACTATAAAATCTCCCACCGTTTTAATTTTTGCATGTGTCAAACTTTTGGTCAGAGTACCCTTCTTGCCAATCTTATATAATCGCCATACATCGTCATGTAGACAAGGGATAGGATGCTTCCCATATGCTGCAGAACAAATCTCATTGATAATAAAATTACTCATACATCCAAGGCATATCTATCGATTAATCTTCATTATCTAACAGTAGTATGTAGACGTCAGTGTCACATGTTACCATGCAAGAAGACAGAGGTACCAACTGCAATATTAACTTCTTCCAGTGATCTTAAAAAGTAATAATAAGATACCGATTGCTTTTCTTTAGTCTCGTTTGGTCAAAAATCACAAACTCTAAAATTTAATCTGAAGTCTTGGAATGAAAATGTCGGAATTTAATCATAACAACTCCACTTTTCTTCAAATGTATAAAATAATTCACATTTACCCACATAAGAAAAAAAATTCCATACTGGCAAAGATGAAGCAAGCTCTAATCGAATAGAGGTACTTACTGAGTTGGCGCTTGTCCCCAATGAGAAAGGATTTTGTTTTTGCTTCTTTGGCAAAAACAGCATTCACAGACCTTGCACCCAGCCTGAAGTTCCTTTTCTTCTTCCAGGTTTTATTGTGTGTAAATGAAAGTTTATCTACAGAACCAACACCTTCTTTCAGATTCAGGAAGGCATTTCCTTGAAGCACTTTCTTTCCATTCCAATCACTGATGATTTTACTGTTAAATTCGTCAGAACTCCAATTCCCTGCTTCATCATCATTACAATCTCCCTCGAGAACAACAATTTCAACTGTTGCTGCAGCTCCAGCCCCGGTAGTCACAATCTTCCCTGTCCCATCAACCAAAGCCACTATGAAGGGTTTATGTTCTTCTCCTTCAATGGTCATTCCTGTAGAAACTGATGGGGAGATTCCATTTAAGAACTGCAATCGATAAGCTTGTGATCCAGAAGTACTTGCCGTGTAACCAAAGTTCCTGACAATATGTGATGTGTAAGCTATCAGATACTCCATCCACCCAAAGCATAAAGAAGTATGCTTTGACTTTTAGGGTAAAAATCTATTACTTTTTAAGTTTCAGAATTATGTGTCCCTGTCTATTTTATCATTGGCATTCTATTATCTACAATTTTGTTGTGCAATTGAAGGAAGTTATTTATTCTTTTTCAACAATGTCAAAAATTCATATCACCAATTTAAGTTCAAAATTTAGGGTTGTAGTCATTAGTAACATCTACCAATTTCTATGGATGTTAGTTATTTATATTCCTTACCGTGTCATGCTTGTTAAGAGATCCAAGCCAAATTTCTCTTTTATCAGGGACATAAATTTTTGTTGCTCTGCATTGACCTGGGATGCATGTAGCAAGAATAAGCATTACCCATGAAATACATGAAGGATCAATGAAATCTAATATGTGAGAATACAACTTGTTCGATATGGATCCTGATTTGGACCATTCATCAGAGGAAAACTGCACATATCTAATGGGTTACCACAAAAAATGTTATCTTTTACAGTAGGAACACATTTGTACTATCCTTTTCTGTCTAACCACAAATAGTTTACACTATGGTTTTTCCAATTTTTTTTTTTTTTTTTTTCTGATTTAGACATCTTATTATCAATTGACCTGTTCCTGGATTCATTTCCAAGAGAGAAACAATAGTGCCCTGAAAGCACATGCTGATTTCTTCGGGGAAAATATGTTGAAGTATCCATATAGTTTCAAAGCTAAAGGTTACACTATACCTGGATACGTATTTTGATGGTCGGGTTTTCTATGCCTAAAACTCTAATGCTGAACAAATATGTTCATGCACGTACGTCAATGCTTAGTTTACAAGTACCAACATTTAATATCAAGATCTATGTGGATAAAAACAAAACGATTCCGAGTAAGATGAATTACAGAAACTCATAAAACGATTATACAGCAAGGAGAAACTGAAATCATAAGTGGTGTACCTACCATTTTGGGGCTCTCAGACCAGCATTAACACTATGTTCCATATTTCAATAAAATCGTTTATGACCATTTACAAGACAACTTCAGCAATAAATTTACGTATAATATATTTAAAATAAAACAAGATTCGTATGAATTCCAAAACTCAATCACAACAAACACAGACTTGAAGTACCTTAAAACATAACTTACTGAAGCTGCAAGGGCTGCTAAGATTTTTTTGGGGGGGGAACTACCATAAAGAAATGGCTCTCATCTCCTCGATGAGGTCCAAGTCTCTCAAGCACCTCCTCACAGGAAAATATACTTCTAACATAAGCATCCTGGCCTTTAATGATCTTTATGATCCAGGTCTATGTGTGGGTGGATGGGTGATGGATTGAATAGATCTGAGAAATAAAGCGAAGAAACTATAGTTGAGTAGAAAAAAGAATATGACACCTGTGTTGTGTGATTAGACCAAAGTTTCCTAAGAAAAACATGGTACCAGAGTTTGTGCACGGTTCCTGACACGTGCCATCAGGATCTTCTTAGACTTGCAGATATTCTGTTTTTAACAAAAGAATGTGGAATATGACCCAAGCCTCCTGACCTTTAGTGATATTTATGATCCACAAAATATACACTCTACACCTACATATCTACAAGAAAGGGATAAAGTACGATCACAATATATCACAACATGTATAAATATATATCATATATCAATATATGTAGAGATTCTAGAGAGAGAGATTCTATCATCAAGATTAAGTGGATCTGATAGAAACGGCATCAACCCAGATATCATGTTAAATCCAACATATAGGATAACAAGTCACATAGAGAAGGCATCTCGATTATATATGATAACCGTTATTAACTAACCGAATTGTGTTCTTGGGTAACAAGAGATCAAACGAAATTAGGACCAAGACATGAGTCACAGGATAATCATCAACAGCAAGAACAGTAACCAAATCAGTATATCCCACTCAAAACTAGGATCTGGTCCTCTCCCCTTTGGAAGAGCAGCTGTTTCGTAAATTAACAGCACGTACAGTATCATAAGCATATATTTTAACTGTGGTTAATGATCGAATTAAACTGTCATCCAAAATTTTGGACGATTTTCCCTCCAGATTCACGTTCAGTCACTTGTACTGAATAAGAGCATAACTACAGGAGTACCATACAGAGAGACTCAATTACTCAAACGGAAAAGGAAAAAAAAAAAGTTGAACCACCACGTCGTATGAAGAATTTCGGCTCTACTGAAGAAGTTCCTGTTCAAACAAACGAACACATGCGCATACACACATAGGTTCGTGCATACCAGTTCCGATACTCTACCCAAAATGTAAATACACTCACAAATAGTCGAATCCATCGGTCGAATTTACGCTGCATATCCAGTGGAATACGGCCCAGCATCTCCTTCAGTTCGTCTCTGCAAAAAAAGGCATATACAGAGCAGGTATAAGATCAACAAAAGGATCAAAGTTGGCAAAAAGAAAAATCTAGTTGAACAGCATGAAGAAAAGGTGAATCTCAACTCTCTGAGAGGAGAGAATCTCAATAGAGTATCATCGACACCATCATCCCTAAAAATGCAGGTTTTTGATAATCCGACGTTTTGAGAACAACAGATCTGTGATTGACACATCTGAATATATTCAAGCTGGAAGTTGGATTTGATGATTACAACGAGAAAATCTAGGGATTTGATGCTGAAATTGATTGTAATCATTTCGAACTTACATATACTATCTGAGATTGAAATCCGACTTTCGAGGATGCTTCGTCGAAATGAGGCTGCTTCCATTGCAATGGATGGTGATCATGGGTCGAACTCGTATTCCCTCTAGATACAACAGCATTGGCGTTGCCATGTTTTTTTTTTCTGATATGCAATAAACAATGTCTACCCTACACGTGTCGTTAATCTTCTTGTCTCATAATCTTCACCCTACACGTGTTCATGGTCTTCTTTCTTTTTTTAGTTCCCCCTCCACTTGACGGTTAATTCCAATATTTGAAATACAACAGTTTTTAATTTAAAAATATTTTTTTAAAATAGTTTCTAATCTATGCAATATTATAAAACATTTGAAAAAAAAATTCTTCAAAATTATTTTTTATGCATCAAATAATGTTTATTGATACATATTACTTAAAATTTAATTTTTTATTATAATTTAATTAAAGTTTAAAAACGAATTAATTTATTTTTGATTTGATAAAATAATTTTTTTAAATAATAATTAAGTATTCTGTTAGAACTTAATAATTACCATAATTATATTTTAGATATTTTATAACTAAAATAAGATGTTTATTTTCTAAGATTATATTTATCTGCAGTTAGTTACACGAATTTAAACATGAAGGTTTAATAAGTTGTACTAACGCATAATTTACTTGTAATATTGAATTTTAAGTAATATGCATCAATAACAGTACTTCATGCATAAAAAATGGTTTTTAAGAGTTTTTGTCAAATGCTTTATAATATAGTATAGATTATAAATAAGATTAATTATTATTAAAATATTTAATAATTAACAAGCTTTTTTTTAATTTTTTTTATGAAATAATCACTTTTAAAATAAATTTTTGGGGCTAATATATATTATCTCTACTCCACAACAAAATATCCAAAAAGTCAATTAATGCAATTTCCAAGAGTTTTCTATTCATTCTCTCCACTTTTAATAACGATTTAAGTTTTTTATTGGTCAATTTAATGAAGATAAGCTATCTTCTAAAAACTTTAATAAATAAAAAATAGAAGAAAATATAAAATTCTATAAACTTAAATAACTCATTTGAAATGATTACTTATATTCTTACGAATAATATAATATTTAAAAGAAAAAAATACTAATATTTTATCAGATACTAGAATGGTACTCACGTAATGCAACGAGATACATCTTGATTTTGATGTTTCATTTTATATTTTGAGTATGTCGATGTTATAATGCGATTTTATGTGGTTTTGAAAAAAAAATATTTTTATTTTTGAATGAAATATAAATTTGAAGATATTATAAAATTTTGAAAAAAAATAAGCGATATTAAAATCAAATTAACTATTTAAAAGTTCTCATTTTTATGTAATTTTTTAATTTGACTTTTTATTATAATTTAATTAAAGTTTAAAAAAACAAACTAATTTAAATTTGGTTAAGTCAATGATTATTTTAATTATATTTTAGATCTTTTATATTTAAAATAATAATTATAATGTATCTGATTATGTTTATCTGCAGTTAGTTATACTAATTCACACATAGAGCTTTAATAAGATGCACTAATACACATTCTATTTGTAATATTAAATTTTAAGCAATATGCATTTATAAACAATACTTTATGCATAAAAAATTATTTTTAAGAGTTTTTGTCAAATGCTTTATAATATAGTATAGATATAAACTATTTTAATAATATTATTAATGTTAAAACCCTTAAAATGCAAAAATTATTGAAGTTAAATGTAATTCTTTTTAAAGATTTTAAACTGCATTTCAAAAAATCTGTTCAAGAGAGGAGCTAGCTACCACTCGAAAGGGAAACAAGAAACCACATGGCTCATAATGAACAACGTTCCAAAAATTAGACCTGAAGAGACCCACGAGTCCGAAGAATTTTATAAAATAACAATTGACACATAAATAGAAGATAAACATGAATGACCAAAAACAATATGTACATGCATGTTGTCTTGCTATAACAACCAACTTTTACCCTTTTCGATGGTGTCACCTTTAACGTCGAAGTGGATTATGAGCTCAAACTGACCGTGTTGTCGGGTGATTAGAGTTGGCCAAAGGGAGTTCCCGTAGACCATTGAACCAGCAATCCAACATCATTGTCGATGTTCCGGATCATGGATTCGAGTAGAGAGCCAAATCGAACCTTAGAACAGCAAAACCCTGAAACAAGTCAGGATATGAAATATGTAATTTAATCAACGATGGATTTTTGAAGCATTGTACCAAATTTTTTCTTTATAAATGACCATCACTTGTGTGAAATGCCATACACAACACTGTAATTTCCGATGGGTAAAGGTAAATGAGAAAAATTCATTCTACTTTTGCCTATAAAACTGTTAAAGTCCTATATCAGTTAGACTTTTGACCCAATCTCCTTAATATACGTTGTAACATTCCTTTTCTCATCGAGGGTTCTTTTTAAAGAGTAATATGATGTAGTTCCATTACTTCCATATGTTCTAATATGGTATCAGACACAAGGTTTACCATTTGAAAGGGACTCGACACTATGGGGCATATGTATCCGTCTAAGGGATTGTTTGTTAACAGCTTAATGGGAGTCACGGTTTATTTGGTCAGCTATACATGATTGTTTGATAGTGGCTTAAATGATATAGAAAGTGGCCTATTCAGTAAGCTTCTAGGGGGGAGCCTTATGCAGAAAGCCAAATTTTTTCCAAACCTGTCCCTCCCAATTTAAAAAAAAAAAGTTTTTCCATCTATCGAAAACCTCTCAAACAAAAACCGTTTTAATCTATACAGACAGATTAATCTATACAAAAGCTTTATCAACTTAATGGAAAACCAACAAAACAACCCCTAAAAGCCTCCGTTGGAGTGCGTGTGCTAAGAGTCTCTCAGCCGCTAAACTTGGACCCATCATCCTCCACACAAAAACCTTCAATGACTCGTTTAAAAAGTAATCTAATAAGGTTCTACATTATAACATGGTATAAGAGCTAAAGTCTACCATCTAAAAGGGACTCGATACTTGCGGTTGTGCCCGTCTAGCCTCCGTTCGAGGAGCATGTTGGACTCCCACATCAACTAGACTTGGACCTATTCTCCTCGCTTAACATTGGAACCTCCCTTCTCTCCTCAAAGGCTATTTTAGAGAATAATCTAAGAAGGTTCTACATATCTGACATGGTATCAGAGTCGAGATCTACCATATGAAAGGGACTTGACAATCTATATTATACCCATCTACCCGTTGGAGGGGTGTGTTGGAATCTCACCTCAACTAGACTTGGACAGTTGGACCTATTCTCCTCGGTATATGTTGGAACCTCCTTTCGGGATTTTTTAAAGCTTGGTATGATGGAATACCGTATATCTAACATTATAAATGGTTTACTTGCAACGGAAAGCTAAGTATGACAATACGGAAAGTCCAACTCTTTTACTAAAAAGAAGTCCAGAGTCGAAAAACTACCTGCTGTATATACGCACGAAACCATGAATTTGAACTTCTGTGTCTCTCTAAAACCGGGCATTTTCATCCATCATTTGAGCATTTGATGATATATCTCCCTTGCGTATCTCCAACATGAGCGAGAACCATTTTACGACACTCGACACGATCTTCCATCTCCTCTGAGCTTTGCCAATGGCCGAACAGGGAAATAAAAACCTGTCAACTGCACACTGCAGATAACCAGGAGAAGAAGTGCCAAGATACTGCAGATGCATCGATGAGCCAGGGTCACAAATCAAGGTGTTATCCACATGGCATTGGAAGTCTATTGGCTGATCAAACCCAACATCGATAGAGCCCATGTGGTTCAAGCCATATTCACCCAAGCTACTCATGTCACCAACTGAATAGAGGGATGGAGTTGTCATCTGTGGGTAATCAAATCGGTCTTTCTGAAGGGAATCATTGGCTTCGGGATTTCCTGATATCATTTGGGTGTCTGAGGGATAAAGATCTTCGGTTAAAGAGCAAGTACCAGCTCTAAGAGAAGCTTCATCATCATAGGAAAGAACTTTGTCCAAGTGGTGAAATGCAGATATCACCAACTTGTGGGCTTCGGTCTATATACACAATTTAGAGTAGATGTCAGTGATTACACTCGAAAGACGAAAAGCAAACGAATGAAAAACAAAATGTCGAAAGAATTTACATAAAGCCATGAAGATGACTTGATCCTTCTCAATAAGTGTCTCTTCAAACTTTACGATTGCAAGGAGACAGCTTAACTTCCTGAGACTAATTCTTGATTATTTGATCCTTTTGATTTTTGAGGGGCAGATAGTGTTTGGTATGCAGGCCAAGTCGAGCCAGGACACGACAACGTATTGTTGTCCCACATTTGGTGCGACATCAATACTGGGACATGATAGGACTGAGTGGAACAAAAATGCATTTTAGTAGACATACCAAAAGCTAACCTTTTCGGTTTCAGAGAGCTTGTCGGAAACAACATACTTGCCACCTGAAATAAGTCCAAGGACTTGTCCCACGAGATTAAACACAACGCCATCCCTTTTCTGAGATTGAGGACAATACAAGTACAACTTGTTATCATCTAACACACATCTTGTAGCATGCTCCACCACAACTTCCCACATTTTTGTAGACATACCAGGGCCGAGGATCTGCAGTGGTCAAAAGTTGGAAAAGAACACGGATGGTAAATAATCTTGAAGTAGTTTATCAATAAGAGATTATATATGCATCAAGAAACAAAAGGGTCCTAATGATTTGAAGCTCTGAAACAAGAACATATTAGCATGCATGCATTTGATCCTTGTGTTTATGAGTGTAAGCGTTCAGTCTGGTTCGGTTCTGGCCTAAACCAAAAACCTAACTGCTCTCATTTGGTTGCAATTTATCCGATCCAATCAGAATGACAAAGACTTCAAATCCAACCCAGCCAGTCAACTTCAATGTGGTTTTCTTACACGGTTTAATTCCCTTCAAGAAGACCTGAGAAACCACAACGGGGTGGGTGAAACTTGGTATTGCCCTGCCAATGCATCAACGAACGGACAACAAAAGTTTCACCCCCTGGATGTGGTTTCTCAGGCCTTTCAGACAAAAACTTCAGACAAGCACAATAGCATTGAAGAGATGCAACATCTTACATGTCGAAGCCCTTCTGGGTCCAGGAAGAAAAGAACTAAGAAATCTTTCACTGTTTTGATCTTTTCCTTGTGCAACCGCTTGTGAAAAGCTCCGTCCTTGCTGATTTTTTCCAGTCTCCATACCTCATCAGACAGATAGGGGGGGTGATGTTTCTTGTATACTAAAACAAAAAAGCAAACATCAATTTTACTACAATTGTTGGATCAAGTCAATTAAAACCAAAGAAACCAGGTATATCCCACTTGAAAGTAGGGTCTGGGAGGGGTAAGATGTACGCAAACCTTACTTGAACCACTAGGATTGAGAGGTTCTCTCCGCCAAGACCCCCGGCTTGTGCATGAAGAAGAGGTATGTGCAAGTGGGAAATAAGATAGCTAATATAACAGGTAATCGGAAAACATAACAGGTAGAATAAGATTCAATGGTGTGTACACGATTCAAAGGTGTGCTTGTAAGGCATCTAATAAAAGTAGAATGAATGTACATAGCAACTTAAACATGTAGGTTGTATGAAAGACAAGCAAGAAAGTTGGGTCCTATGGAGAGCAGCTAACACATACAAGGAGCCCATTTGGACAACAAACGATTCTGACAACAAACGACTATATAAAATACACTTACATTCCCCACGATGATCTCTGACAACAAACGATTCTGACTTCGCTTCTCTCACTCTGATTCCATCACAATTATCCACAACTCGTGCTCCCAGCCTGAATCTACGGCTCCTTGTCCAGCTTGAATTATCCGTGAAGTAAAGATCACCCACTAGACCTATGCCGTCTTTGAGATTTAAAAGTGCATTTCCAGAAAGAAGTGGTTTCTTCCCTCGCCTCTCCCTAATAATGTTTGCACTGAACTCTTCAAGTGTCCAATTGTCATCTACATCGTCATCAAAGTCTCCCTCAAGAACCACTATTTCCAGTTTTGCTGATGACTCAATCCCGCTGGAAACTGTTTTCCCGGTATGAGCATCGATTAACGCTACTTTTAGCATATTGCAGTCCCCCCCTTCGATACGGGTTCCAGTAAAAACTGGGAGAGAAAGAGAACTTAGGAACTGTAATTGTAAGCTTCGTGGGAGAACAGATTCTATCTCGTCCTCACAACCCCTGTGTAGAAAGCATGTGTTGATCTTAATAAGAGGTGACCTACACATGTACATAAAGTAGCATTCATCATGCAGAATCGTACACCTTACCACTTCATGTTAGCCATATGTTTTTCCAATGCCACTTCAACTTCCTCTCTCACCTGCACCCCCAATATATTCATCTAATAACCATTAAAAAGATTATCAACTCAAATTTAACATGCAGAAGTTATCAGCGCAGATGATTGAAGCAGCAGTTGGTCTTTAGTGAAGTACACAGAGAACAGAGAACAGAAAATATTGAAGCAAACTGCATATATAATCCACAACTCTCAGTTATGCCTCGTATCTTTTTGATATTCCAAACTTCAAACTGGAGGATATGATCCAAAAGTTGATTCTCTATACTGGAGAAAGACGATGATCATATCAGCTGGAAGTGTTTAGAATCCTAAATATCTGCTTGCATAAGGCCTGCCATTGTAAAGAGGTAAATGTAGTCTAATGCCATCTTCAGCTCAGAAGAAGATAGAATGCCCACCTAAGCCAAATGAATCAACAAGTAGGGGAACCTAACGTCGCAAGCCAAGACGCAGTCATCATATACAATTAAACGTCACGTTTTATCTAAAAGCAATTGCCTATATACAAAGCAAAACAAGAACAAGCCTTTATCTCGAAATAGTTGGGATAGACTAAAAATGGACCAAGAAGAGAAGTAAGAGATGAATCCATCAAGTCTTGGGATATCAATAGCATCCTTGAACACCTGCAACACTTTATAATGTTCATGATACAAGATGATTACGATTATTTATATCTGTTGTTATGAGCTCCTTGAAATGACTTTTGAGGTGGTCTCTAGGAAGGAGGCTTTGTGGGGATGCAACTGGATGGAATCAACTCTGAGGTTTACATTATGAAACCAGCAAAAGCTATAAAGCAACATGGATTTAATAAGGTACTTCAAGGGTGGGCTTTGTTTGTAAAATCCTATGAGAGTAGAATCTACAAGTTACCATTGGGTCAGCTATGCAAGAGTGCGAGGTGTCAATGTGGTTGGCTCTGTTATGTGCCTTCCAAGATAATCATAAAAGTCCAGTAAACTTTATGAAAAGCTTTGTAGACGCACTTATGTCCTTTTATATAGATCTACTCTTTGAGTAGATTCTAGTAGGATGCCTAACTACATTACCCCTCGAAAGCCGCCTAGTCCGATGTTTTAGGCCACTAAAGATAGTAGTACGCTTCGCCATAATGGGATAAAACATCCCAGTGTATAAATAGATCAAAAGGAGTACCTTGCTGATGTATATGTAAGCCACTCTGCCAAATACATTGTGCCACAAACTATAAATGAGCATTCCTACATAGTACAAAAATATCAGTAAATATGAAGAGAATAAGACACTTTCACATACCACTCTACGGATCAAGGGCTCCAAGACCGGCTCAACATACTTGTGGATGGTACAGAACTTCATCACCTCCAGCACTGCACTGTATACATCAAGAGAAAAAGTTGAACAGAGTCTTATCCAATAGGAAAACTGTTCTCACTTTGAACAACAATCATTTTGAATATAGAACAGATAGCTTTATACCAGGTATTGACATGATTTGAGCCATATGCACCAATTAACAACTTAAAGCATTACAAACTAGGCTATGCGCCTAGCCACGTGTTCCCAATCATAAGCCGACATTCGCCCATTATCCTTACATCCATTTTAGGTGTGTACTTTTTTGTAACCATGAGTGTCGGGTTTGGGCACACCTCGACTAACCCCACTGACCCTGAAGATAACATCCATACAAATCCTAGTGGGCCTGAGGAGATTCAAATGGCCAACCTATGGGAGGAGCCCAAGTGCTAACATTCATTTAAACAATTACATCCATTATAGGTGCCAGTGTGCAGTCCCATAACCTGCAATTCTTAATCCCACTCAATGTGATAACATGTCTTCCTCCAGTTGCTGCTTGCAGATGACATTATATGAAGAAAATATACAGATTGAGAGAGATAGAGGCAGGACATAGACTCAAGCCATGGAGAGAAACTGGATTTTGGCGCCAAATATAGGAAATCACAAACCAGCAATCCTCCATCACAATTACAAGTGCCAATAATTACCTTTCTCCTAATCTTCTAAGGTCGATTACTGTTCTAAATCTCATAAGGCAAACAATCAAACATCAATTCCGCTAATACCAATCCATGGTGGTCATGAATCATATACAGCCACACAAAACGAGATTCAATCAACTAGTACTAACTACTAACGAACCTAACACAAACATACCGAATCAGGAGATGAGCAAGGGTTTGACAGACTTACTTTCTGAAAGAAGGACGTTTACGACTGCCACCAGCATCAGAATACGAGTGTCGTTCCTGTTCGTGTTCCTGTTCCTCATGCAGTGAAGTATGGACATCATCCTGCTTCTGGCGCTTCTGCGACATGATTACCGGAGCCACCGGCGGTGGCTGAGCGATGAAAAACTCAAAGCAATAAAGGTGGAAGCTTTGTAGATGATGACCAGTCCTAAGGGATCAATAAACAATCAATCGATGAGGATGAACAAATATCGATAAAAACGACCAACATGCGGTGTCAGATTATAGGACAAAACTCAGCAAAATTCTTTCGATAATTAGTCGGAAACAAACAAATGAGTCGTAAGAACTCCATTAATGTGGACCGTACGGAACATGGCGCAGCGTTTGGACCATGCAATGTTGCAATGTTAACCATTCAACCCCAATTCTTGAAAACCTTTTTAAATAGAAAGAGGTTGGGCAAGGGATTAGAAGATGGTGGTTCAAAAACCCTTTGGTTTCGGGTCCGAGTCTCGTGCGTTATTTCAGTGTGATTGTGATTTACGTGACATCGATCAAGCGATAACGCAAACATAAATGAGTTAGAGTTGTAAAGTGCATATTCACTAATGTTGCATCTATCACCTTAAATCGTCATAAGACGATGATCAAAGGGTTGCGAGCGACAAGTCGTGGACAAAGTGGCATAAAATCAAATATGATTCGATCGTTTTTCTGTTTTTCTTATTTGGTCATCGTTCCTATATGAACCTGACTATATATAGAAAAGACTAATTGACGATAGTAAGAAAACACGGTATTATCTAATATTTTGCATGTGATTTTATACTAAAAATAACATATGATTACGGAACGATCAATCCAGTGACCAGGGACGGACCCAAGCAGTTTTTGTGATGGCACGTGCTACTGTTTTGTTCCTCCGTCGTAGTGTGAAAAATTATAGGGTTGAGAAAAGTGTCACCATATGTATTTTGAAACTACAACTAGAATACAAGTTTCTCGTGGTAGAGTTGGTTTGCAAGACTTTTATTCCACTTTAGACCTGACTCGAATACCTATCATAGCTTGTATTCTTCCATCACCTGCCAATCATGTGCATTTGGCCGGACAACCTCAAATGCATATCCCGTCCCTTAGCATGTTAAATGTGAGGTTTTAAACAGAGCCCCCGAAGCTTTGGAGCCCCAAATTTACTTGTGTTTATGGTCTTTTTTATCGACCTATGTAAAATTATAGCCGAAATTATTTAGATTCAAATTATTAATTGTTTGGTTTTAGGTTCAAATTATTAATGGTTTAGGTTTTGGTTTATATTGTTAATCGTTTTAGGTTTAGCCCATTTTTGTTCTTTTAACATATATTATCTGTTATCTCATTTATACAATGCAATCAAAAGTTTTGGGTGTAACCGGGTCCTGCCGGCGCATATGATCGTTCATCAATTATATATGATTTTTAAGTATGAAATCAAACACTTCCATAAGAATATAAAAACATGTACTCGATAAATTTCAAATGATCAGCGGCCAACTGTGGCCATTTTCGGTGGACGGTAACCATAGCTTCCGGCCGTGACTCCGATCGACCTCCATTTTACCCTTCTTCCTCTCCTCGTTGGCTCTTCTTTCTCCGACCACCCCCAAACCGTTCGACGTTCACAAGATCGTCGTCTTCAACCAAACCAGACCTGTTAGTTATGGAACCGGCCTCTAGGGTTTCTTCAAATGAAATGCTTCAGATGCTATTTGACAAATGGTGCCATTGTTGGGGTTTCTCTGTTTCACAACGAGAGGGTCGTTGGAGGTTTCTGCGAACACGTGGTTCACGGTAAAAGAGGGGTTCACGTCGCAGTGAGTCACGGTCTTGGTGGGGTGAACGTATTAATTACAGAAAATAACATCTCATATAAATTCTTTAAAAAAAATTAAAACGAAGAATTAAAAATCAAAATCTATAAATAAAAGTGTTTGATTCAGTCGGAGAAATAAAAATAAAAATTACAGGTAATGAAAATAAGAATGAATTTGTATTCCTCCCGTTTAATCTGAAATTAAAATTTAGGCTTTTAAAAGAATGAGTTTATTATATTATATAAAATCAAACAATTTATTTTATTTTCATTACTATTGTTGTAGAATTCGGCATTGATTATAATATTAAAATATATTTTTTTTAAATATTTATTTTCCAAGTCTTTATTTGTAGAAATATATTAAAAAAATATTTCTTTCATGCGATAATCATTTTTTAGACGTTCTTCATATTTAGAGAAAAACTATTTTTTTTTCTATTTTCTCCATTTTAAAGATAATTTTAGGAAATATCGTGGCCACATTCTTTATTCCTCTTTGGATTTGAACATGAGACCTCCTGGTATTTTTGACTTTCAAAGCGAAGCTCAAACCAATCAGGCACCACCCTTGTGGTTCACATATGGAACTTTGCGTTTACTTCTTGTTCTCTCTTTAAATTCTTGTCTCAAGTTGCATTTAATTCTTTTGCATTTTTATGTTCTTGTAGCAGCTTCACCACAAGTGGTGACAGCTTTATAACTTTCGTTATACAAGTAATCTTTATGTATTATTCTTCTTCTACTGTGTCTTCTCTTTTTATTATGAGCTAAACACTTCTTTGGGTGTGGGTGTGAGCCAAAGCTAAGACTAGTAGACAACACTTGGGTGTTGTCATTTTCACTAACTATTAGACTTGGTCACTTTAACAGTAGACTTTCTCGTGAGCTGGGAGAAGAAAGAGAGAGGAGAGTCCCATGGAGCATGTGGTCAGAAATCCATAAAAGAGTCTGAACTTTTCTTAAATCCAAGCGAATATATTCACATGTGGTAGTTTATATTCAGTTTTGCGGCTTTAATTGGTGTTCACAATATGTTCACAAAGTTACACCACATCTTGTAGATTTATAGTGTCTATAATATTTTTAAAATATTGTTTACTACATGTTTATCTTGTGTGCACAATAAAGAAGATAGGAGAGAGAAAAAAGAACCGATAATTTTATTTAAATATTATTTGTTAACACATAGTAATTAACATGTTAAATATATATATATATATATATATATATATATATATATATATAGGTGGAGGTTCAAACGAGAACCCCTGTGATTTACGAAAACGCAAGAACAACTCAATAACCACAAACTTTTTTAATTAATAAATTAACTTTTATTATATATAAATAATTTAATAAGGGCAGTAATGTAATTAAGTAATTTTTATAATTTTTATTTTATTTTAGTTAACCATGTTTATCTTCACGTTTCCACGTCTTCTTCTCCTTCATTGATCACGTCTTCTTCTCCTTCATTCATGCGTCTCCAAATCACACCCATATCACACCAAATCGGTAGTCGATTTTTTAAGTTAACCCTAGCCGAACGGAATCCTTGTGATAATCATGTGATACATGATTATCACACCCAAATCACACCAAATCATGTTGATATAAGCGATAATGTGATAATTGTATGATAATCACATGATTATCACACCCATATCACACCAAATCGTGTGGATATAAGCGATAGTGTGATAATTGTGTGATAATCACATGATTATCACACCCATATCACATGATTATCACACCAAAAATTTAACTTATCAACTAAAACGATAACCCAAGTGGTGTATAATGGTGATTATCACATCCATATCACATGATTACACCGAAAAATTTAACTTATCAACCAAAACGATAACCCAAGTGATGTATAACGGTGATTATCACACCCGTATAACGGTGATTATCACACCCATATCACATGATTACACCGAAAAATTTAACTTATCAACCAAAACGATAACCCAAGTGATGTATAACGGTGATTATCACACCCATCTCACATGATTATCACACCCATCTCACATGATTATCACACCCATATAACATGATTACACAAAAAATTTAACTTATCAACCAAAACGATAACCCAAGTGATGTATAACGGTGATTATCACACTCATATCACATGATTATCACACTCATATCATATGATTACACCAAAATTTTAACTTATCAACCAAAACGATAACCTAAGTGATGTATAACGATGATTATCACATGATTATCACATTCATATCACATGATTACACTAAAAATTTAACTTATCAACCAAAACGATAATTCAAGTGATGTATAACGGTGATTATGACACCCCTATCACATGATTATCACACTCATATCACATAATTATCACATGATTAGGGTTGCTTGTTGCATGCAATGGCTTCTCGATTAGGGTTCTTGGTCGATTACGGTTGTGTGTTCTTGGTTGGTCACCGTCGATCAACACCGTCGCCGTCCGTAGTTCTTGCGATTTGAAGTTAGACTTGTAATCGTAACCGTTTTGTAGATGATAATGATATGTTTAAAAGATTCTAACCGTTTTCTAGATAATATATCATTTCCATTATTACCCTTTTAATTTTAATTTTTTTTTGAATCTTTTTAAATTTTAATTTTAATTTTAAAAATCTTTTAATTTTATTTTTTATCACAATATGTGGTTATTGAGTTGTTCTCGCGTTTTCGTAAATCACAGGAGTTCTCGTTTGAACCCTTCCCTATATATATATATATATATATATATATATATGAAACAAACTATTGACATTAAATTGTTAAATGAAGAGAAGACATTTCAATGTAAATAAATTACTTAAAATTTAAATATATTACTAAATAAGTTGTATATGAATATGTCATGTATTTTTAAAGGGGGGGTTGAATTTGAGGGTGGGCATGGGGCACCCTCTGGCCCCTTAGTGGCTCCGTTCATAAATTTTAAATATATAGTGTTGGATTCACGCGAGACTAGTTTGTTTTTGTGAAACCCATGAAGGTAAAATGAACTTTTATAGTGTTTTGCTATAAAGTTTCAAGTGTAAAAAAATGGCCTCAAACAGTCAGGTCTCTTATGATCATGTGTATAGGTATTTGTTAACTTTGTTTTTTGTGTTAACATAAAAAACCAATCTCTAACCATCCAATTGTTAGATCAATGGTTTAAATAGATTTTGTTAATTTTAGTATTAAAAGTAGCTGAAGCGATTAGTAAGGAAGATGAATCATCATGAATAGGGGTAAATTCGGTACAAAAAAAATAAGAGAAACTTACCATCGT